GCAGCCTTCTGGTTAGCAGTCAAATGCCTTAGGCACTATGCTACCAGAGCTCCCATCCATCCAGTTAACACAGAGGAAGGCAAGTGCTTATTCTAGTGCTATTTTCCTCTCCATACCTCTAAAAGTCATCCTCAAGGCTGCTACCCCATAAGCTAATCGGGTCTCATCTCTTTTCTCTTATGACTTCACCTCACTTTTCAAGGCCTAATCCTTTCCTTCTCTTCACCACATTCCCAACCTTATCAACAACTCTGGTTCCTGGAGGTGCTATGGCAAACTAACGTACAAGCAACAGCAGTGTGCAGTGGTATTACAAAACTAGGCAAAAAAAAAGTTCCAACTGAATTACCTGGCTTCTGATAATGTTGATAAAGTACTTAACCTGAAATTTATTTATAAGTCTTGTTAGCAGGTATTAAATAAATTACTCCAAACTTACAAGCTGGAGTTTTAAAATATTTGATTGAAAGGGAAGAAAGCAAAGCCTTTTATTTTTCAAGACAAATTTTTATGTAGATAAATCAACTTACATTTGAACATAAATAAAAATAGGCAATTCTGAATCTTTTTCCTTAATTTGAGATTTACTGGAAGAAATGACACAGAGAATGGAAGCCTTGGAAAATCGCCTGAGATACAGATGAAGATTAGGAATGTTGTACATATTTGGACATGTCATTGTTTCAAGGATTGCAATGAAAACAGCTGAGAGCCCCAAAGCCCAGGCTATATTATGTCTGTAACGTCATGAAGCAAAGCACAAATCGTACTAAAAAAGCTGGTTTGGTATAGAACAAAGACAAAAAGACAGTAATTTGTGTAACTTTATTTAGAAAAAAGAAATCTTCCAGATTTCTAAGATGAATTCACCAAGAGAAAGAATAAGCTATGCAAGGTATTTTGTAATAGACTGTGGACATGATTTGCTTCTGCCCCTTCCTGCCTTAGAGTGTTGCAATCTTATTTGACTACAAAATAAAGTTTGCACAGTCTTACTTCTGTAGAACACTGGCCATAGGAAAAGCTATTTTTGGTATCGGACTTTATCTTGATATATGTATATGGATGTATGCTAAAAATTGTAAGACATATGTACTTGTGTAACAAGTTGAAATTTTTTAATATTAAAATTCACCACTTCAAAGAATGGTATTGTGTGTAAAATTCTTAGCATAACTTTAAATGCCAGATACATACACATGAGAAATGGCTTATATAGAGAGAGAAAGGTGCTGAACCTCACTGGTATTCAGGAATACACCAGTTAATACAATACCAGTATCATCCATCAGGAGCTCTGGTAGAATAGTGGCTAAGGCACTTGACTGCTAACCGGAAAGCTGGCGGTTCAAACCCACCAGCCACTCCTCGGAAGGAAGATGGGGCAATCTACTTCCATAGTGATATTGCCTCGGAAACCCAAGGAGGGGTCACTATGAGTCGGGTCCGACTCGACGGCATATAACAACAACGTCATCCATCAGTGTAGCAAAAATTAGTATGTTTGATTAGCATTGGTAAGAATGTGGAAACTGGTAGTCTCTTTGGAGAACAGTCTGCTGGTACCTAATGAAACTGAAAATACATACAATCCTGTAACTCTAAGAGCTGCACTTCTAGGTATCTAAGGAGAGGACACAGACATTCAAAGGAGGGCACCTGTATAAAAATGTTACTAGTGTGTGCAAGCAACAAATTAGAAACAACCAAAGCATCATCAGAACTGATAAAACTGCTCTACATTGAAAGGACATGTGTATATGGTAGAACTCATAAACAAAAATGAATTTAAAAAAAGCTAATGACAGAATATATTCAGCATTATCATTTCTATACATTTTTAAAAAACACAAACATTGCTAGAAATTGTTCAGAGATACATAAATATGTGGTTTGTGTTTGGAATGCCCTGGCGGTAGGCCGCACTAAGCCAGCTGGGGAACAGCGGAAGGCAAGTGTTTGTGTGGAGTGCCCCGGGGCAGGCCAAGTAAGCGAGCACAGCGGGGGAGACCAGGAAACGAGCAGAACAACTAAGGGAGACAAACTTACCTGACAGTTTGTCATAGTGTGGTGGCTTGAGTGTCACTGTGAGGCTGGATGCTATGCCACCAGTGTTTCAAATGCCAGCAGGGTTACCCATCGTGGACAGGTTTCAGCAGAGCTTCCAGACTAAGACAGACTCAGAAGAAGGATGAGGCCATCCATTTCTCAAAGAATTGGCCAGTGAAAACCTTATGAACAGCAGTGACACACCGTCTGATATAGTGCTGGAAGATGAGCCCCTCAGGTCGGAAGGCACTCAAAATACGACTAAGGAAGAGTTGCCTCTTAGAGTAGAGCCAATCTTAATAATGTGGATAGAGTACACCTTTCAGGACCTCCATTTGCTGATGTGGCATGTCTCAAGATGAGAGGAAACAGCTGCAAACATCCATTAATAATCAGAACATGGAATGTACCAAGTATGAATCTAGGAAAACTGGAAATTGTCAAAAATGAAATGGAACACACAGAGATTGATATCTATCCTAGGCATTAATGAGCTGAAGTGGACTGGTTTTGGCCATTCTGAATCAGATGATCATATGATCTACTATGCTGGGAATGACAAATTGAAGAATGGTGTGATATTCATCATCACAAAGAATGTATCAAGATCTATCCTGAAGTACAATGCTATCAATGATAGAATACTATCCAGACACCTACGAGGAAGACCCGGAAGGAAGATGGGGCAATCTACTTCCGTAATGATACTGCCTCGGAAACCCAAGGAGGGGTCGCTATGAGTCGGGTCCGACTTGACAGCACATAACAACAACAACAACAACAACAACAACGAGGAAGACCAGTTACTACTACTATTATTCAAATTTACCAGTTAATACTACTATTATTCAAATTTATGAACCAACCACCAAAGCCAAAATACAAGGAAAATGAAGACTTTTTACCAACTTCTACAGTCTGAAATTGACGGAACATGCAATCTAGATGTGTTAATTATCACCGGTGACTGGAATGCAAAAGTTGGAAACAAAGAAGAATCATTGGTAGTTGGGAAATATAGCCTTGGTGATAGAAATGACACTGGAGATCACATGATAGAATTTTGCAAGACCAACAGCTTATGCATCACAAATACCTTTTTCTCAACCACACAAACAGCAGCTATACACGTGGACTTTGCCAGAGTACACAGGATTGTACTACATCTGTGGCAGAGGTAATGGAGCAGCTCAGTATCTTCAGCCAAAATAAGGCCAGAAGCTGATTGTGGAACAGACCATCAACTGCTCATATGCAAGTTCAAATTGAAGGTGAAGACAATTAAAACAAGTCTGCAAGAACCAAAATATGATCTTAATTATATCCCTCCTGAATTTAGAGACCATCTAGAGAACAGATTTGATGCACTGAACACCAATGACCAAAAACCAGAGGAATTGTGGGATGACATCAAGAACATCATCCACGAAGAAACAAAAGGTCATTAAAAAGAAAGAAAAAAAAAAATTGATGTCAGAAGAGACTCTGAAACTTGCCCTTGAACGAACAGTAACAAAGCAAATGGAAGAATCTACAAAATAAAAGAGATGAAGAGAAGATTTCAAAGAATAGCTCAAGAAGACAGAGCCAATTATTATAATGAAATTATATGAATTATAATAAAATGTGCAAAGACCTTAAGTTACAAAACCAAAAGAAAAGCACACACTCGTGTCTCAAGCTGAAAGAACTGGGAAAAAATTTAAGCTTCAAATTGCAGTGTTGAAAGATTCCATGGGCAATATGTTGAATGATGCAGGAAACATCAATACCAAAAAGAATTGGTAAATGGTCATCCATTTCAGGA